TCAAAAGTTTATCACTGCTAAATCAAAGCTTATCGAATCGGCAAATATTCGGTCGGTCAACTTTTGCCAAATTTTCCTGAATTTATGAGAACAGCTGTAATGTATAAGCATGAACCGGGTTTTGCCCGAATTAACCCAATCAGAAATGTCGGAAGGTGATATTCAAGGCAAAGACCCCATGTGATTATGGTTTTGATTTTATCACATTTCAAATGATCGACAAATGATGCACTATTGCAGTATTGCATCATGGTATTTATAACTTGATAAAATCTGATTGGTCAATTTAAGTTGACCGGTGAAAATCCGTCGGTAAAACTGATCAACATTATAAACCAATCAAATCAAAATTTGTAATAGACCGGTATTTAATGTGCTATAGGGATTCGAAGATCATAATCTTCAAAGAATTACAAATCTTGATGGTAAATTTAGACATTAAAAATTCCAAACATTTACGTATGCACGCAAGTACACTTAGCTTTTTTTGATTTTTATAATATTTCAATTTATTCATATATGTCCAAAGTTCATCGCAAACAAAGTTCTGAAAAATTTTGTTGGTCAAATATTTTATAAATGCTTATAAATGGTATTAAAAAAGTTAGTACCTATAAATTATTTTAAACATGTTAAATATAGTTCTACTTCTAATCTGAATGATCGAGATGGTTTTAATAATCTCCAATAAGGCATCTAAATAAAAATAGTAATAAAAAATGAATAAATACTCGTAATGTTGAAGTTTGTTTTACTCGTCTCGTCGTTCTTTCTTCTATTATTTTACTCATCTTTCTTTAATTATCTTTTTTTTTAGAAATTAGAAAAGATACACTCATTCCCTAATTTCAGTTCCATATTAATTCCATAACAATCATTATCCTAATTTCAATTCCATATTAATTCCATAACAATCATTATCCCAATATCATTATCCCGATAATTTTTTTTCTTTCTGAAAAGAAATGGATTTTCTAAAATATATTTCCTTTATTTCCGTATTAACTTATTTGTTCGTTTTTGTTACTTCGGTTGAGCTAACTATAGAAAGTGATAGAGTTAGATATAATGTTATTCTTAAATCTAAATTAGGTTGTGATAAACATTTTGAATGGTTAAAGAATAACCACAGTAGAACTGTTGGAAAGTCAACACTAAACATTTTATCGATTAAAAATAAAAATTTTGTGAAGGATTTTTCTGTTGATGGTTTTTACGGATACACTGCCTTGTTTACTCAAGAATTTGCTAGTAAAGAATTAACGCAGAGAGATGAAGTCGCTGTTGTGGAACAAGATTTTATTATGAAAACTAATTATGTGGTTCCACGTGATGTCCAGAACGCCATAATCCCAAATCGAAATTTGGATCGTATGGATCAAAAAGATTCGGTTTTAGATGGAGAATATGAATTTCCTGATACAGCAGGTGAAGGCGTAAATGTTTTTATAGTGGATACGTAAGTAGTTCAAAATGACAACTTCTATTTAGTATTCATCAAATGTTAGAATAGATGATTTAATAATGTTTCTGAATTATAGTGGTATATTTAAGGAGCACTCAGAATTTGGAGGACGTGCTAAATCTGGTGGCTTTTTTTGCGATAATTGTACTAGTGATGATGACGAAAATGGACATGGAACTAATGTTGCTGGAATTGTGGCCGGTAAAAATTTTGGTGTCGCAAAGAAATCTACGCTAATTTCCATAAGAGTTCTCGATCAAAACGGTAATGGTAACGTTTCGGGTATTGTAGATGGATTAACGTTCGTTCTAAAAACTCATAAAAAATCAAAAAACAAAAATTCGGTAGTCAAGTATGTATTAATTATGATATAAATTATAAATTATTTGAAAAATATAATTGTTAATTTAAAAAAAATTTTTAGCATGTCTCTTGGGGGGCCGAAATCTAAGGCAATAAATTTAGCAGTAAAAGCTCTCACAGATGCAGGTGTTCATGTAGTTGTGGCAGCAGGAAATGAAGCTGAAGATGCGTGTAAATCATCCCCATCATCAGAAACTACTGCAATAACTGTCGGTGCAGTCGAAGTTAACCCGAACGATAAAAAAAAGAATAAAATCACATTTTTCTCCAACTTTGGAAAATGTGTTGATATTTTTGCTCCAGGTCTCGGAGTTGTTTCAGCAGGTGTTCTTTCTGAATTTGATATTAGTGCATTGGCGGGAACTTCTCAAGCAGCACCATTTGTTACTGGTACAATTGCACTTATTATTGCTAAAGATGGTAATACAAGTCCAAAAAAAATGGCTACTGTATTGAAGGATTTGTCAATTAAAAATGCAGTAGATTTTGGTGGTAACAAAACTGTTGAAAAAGGTACTCCAAATAATTTGGTGCGCGTACCTGCACCATAAATAATTGAAATGTGATTATTTATTCTTGTATCTCTTGTAGTGAATTTACTAAATTAATAAAGCTTCTTATAGAATGTGAAATGAATACATTTATTCGCATTAATATTTACAAAATTTGTCACTAGTTGTTTTTTAATAACAGTTGACTTACATACGTACTGTATGTAATTGATAGTATTTGCATTTAAATTAGTATAACGATGACGTGCCTATTCAATTACTTGAAATCCGAAACCATAGACCTCGTAAGTTATACAAAATTGTATTATATTCGTATTATACTAACTGTGCATTTAGAGATTACTGGTGTTGTTTAATAATCTCTATATGCACTGTTAATATAATACGAATAATACAACTTAATATAACTGTCAATGTTCTATATAAATGATATTTTCGAATTTTGTAATTTAATGGGCCCAAAAATAGCATATAGACAATATAACAAATTTATTTACTATTAATAAATAAAATAATGATAAGACCCTAACACAATTCAATGTTTTAATTTATTTAATTGATTTCTTTTAAAAAATCAGAATTGGCCAAACATAATTTGGTAGTTTAAATCAATAAAAAAGATAATTAATTCGCTAATGTACTTGTTGAGGAACAAACTTATTTGAATAATGCAACAATAGAATATGTAAGAGATTCAGAAAATGTTTAATTGTGATGACTTTACTGCTGATTTTTGATAATAAATGAATTCTTTATCTTTTATCCTTTTTAGCTTCATTTTTTTTAGTTTCTCTACACAATGTAAACAGACTAAAGTTTTATAATTATTATTACTCTTACTACTTAAGCCTATTTTTTATGCTTCATTTATTTTGTAATTTTAAATATAAGGTAATATATATTATTCAAATAGATCAGAACTAATCAAAAAAAATGAAAAATCACCTTCATGCATTATATATGCATTTAAATATAAAAACTATAATCGAATTCTGACCCTATTTGTATGCTTATATAACTTTGATCAAATTCATATATCACTACACACCCATACAATCACTTGATTGTTGTCAAATTACCTGATTCTAAAGTACATTTTTGGCTAAATATTCAATTTAAATAAACTATATCTATGCTCACTAGATAATCACTGTATAATCGCGCAACCAGACAATAACCAGTTGACTTTATAGATGTATATCAATCCTCAAATTTGATCAAATATACAAACTGTGATCAATTACAATTTTAATATATCATTATAAGACAATAGTTTTAATCAAAAATGTAACCTTTCATATATCAAAAATATCTTTCACTATGCATTAAAAATTATCCAATTCCACATAATAACTCACTAAATTTTTTATTAAGAGAACTTATAAACTGATGGGTGGCGCAAAGACCACCCATCGTACTAGTTGCTAATATATGTAGAAGATTGATATTTATATTCATATTTTTTGACTATCATCCAGTCAAAATCATATAGTTAGTATTCCGCAGAACCGAACTGTAGACCAGGAACCGAACTCCAGTTTGAATCTGGGCATGTTAATTTTCGAAACATTCGAATCCAGGTCTTTAGTTGGACTCGAACCGAAGTCAAATAACGCACGTTGATTTGCTGCATGCAGGTTCTTTCGGATCGGCACCAATATTTTTCAGTTTCAGATCTTATTTTGACTCGACCAGTTCGGGTCCAGATATTTAAATGATCTTCCCAGAATCAGTCACTAATTAGTTAAAATTTCAAATTTTTATTATAATTTAACTTTTCAGAAATATGTATAAAGTTTACTGATTATATACGTAACATGATTAATATCGATATAAATTGCACATTTTTTCAAATTATTTTTGATTACTTAACTTTCATATTAACGTTCTGAATCAAGTGAGATCAAGTGTTCCACTGACTTTTATTAATACATAGTATAATATCATAGATACGAATTTTGTTAATTTTGAAAGCGAAAAAAAATTTCATCTTAAACAAATATTTCAAACTTAATGTAAGCAAGATCGATAAAAATTGTTCGTCTTATGAAATGCTATTAAAAGTATTAGAGTCACGAGTATTAGAAATACTTAATATGTTAATCTAAATCAGAATTGGTTAATAATGTAAAACTCGTTTTGTCAAAAACTTCATATTTTAAAAAACTAATAATAATCTTGCATTTAAAAATGTTTATGCTGTTTTTTATAACAAATATCAGAATTTTTTTAAGGAGCAATATATTTGTAACCATGGCTACTGTAACCGCATCCCATAATAGCCAATCAAATTTAAAGATCAGGTGTAACGTAACACAATCAAGAAAATTCAAAACAACGTTCGTTTCATCAAAAATTGTCAAAAAACGGTTATAACTCAAAATTGAGTATATGAAACTACTCTTTGAGTTCTAACAAAAAAAATTCCTTGCTAAATTATACTATAAAACACACCTTTTCAACCGCATACTATCTTTACCTCACCCTAACCCTAATTAACAAAGAAAAGGGTTATTTTAGTTATGGCTACGGTAGCCCATGGCTACAAATATATTAATCCTTTTTTTAAAATGAAAAATTAAATTCAATAATATTTACAATTTTACATCAATTATAATCATTACGAAATGAATTCTATAACAAATTCGAAATAATGCAAAACACATACGGCACTACTATCATACAATTTTTGATAAGTATAATGCTGCATGTTAGAATAAAAATTGATATTTTATTAGGATGAAGGTAAAGGATACATACGTACGTACATAGATTACAATCATTGTTGCAATTGGACAATTGGACAATCAGCTAATGAATATCATTGGTTGGACCAATTTTCCAATTAATCATTTAATATCATTGGGTTATTTGATTTTACTGTTGTTCAATGTGTGATTTTTTTTAGCCAAAATTCAATATGAATGTGTTATTTTTATAAGTTTTGTTAGACATATTGCCAACACTGATTACACTTATTTACTAGTTTGATGCACTGTGTAAAACAATTAAGGTAACACAATAATATGACAATCCGATCATATCTGTCAATGAAATTAGATCAGGTCAGTTTTAAAAAACCGCCAGTAATTAAAATTTATTATCACCTTTTATGCACCAGTAAAAAATTTTCTTGCAAAATTTTAGTATAAGTTATTCCTCGTTACAACTATGAACCTGTCCTTAAAGTAATGTTTTATGACTAGAGGTGTGAACGCAATGTCGTAATTATAATGATTACAGCAGTAATTTTATGAAACGCCCGATTTATCACGCGATCATGTACGTAAAATTTTAATATAGTGCCAAATGATAAATTTTATATGTAAAATTTGACAAACTTTCTTTCTAGGCTTATTTAATAAATAAAGGAGTTAACGGTTTGATTTCTGGGTATTATTTCGCAAATTTCTAGCATTAAAAGGTCCTTATTATGAAATTTTAAGGGTGGTCAAAAAACAATTTTTACTGTTTGTTTATAGAATCCTCCAGGGCGACCAAGAATTTTTTCGCGTCATGTGAAAACAACAAACATCTTAAAATTCGTGAAAGTTAGGGTTATTGATATATTTTAGTGATACGGGTCGATGAAAAAATCGTGGGCCGGGGTCGATCCTAAAAAGCTCGGGCCGGTCGACGGGCCGACCTTTTTGCTAGTGTAATTTTTTTTTGATCAAATCAGTCCACATATCTATATTAAACGTACAAAAGGCCATCAAGTAGTTTCTTGTCGAATTCTTGTGATATTAAATGATTTAATTTTTATTCTTTT